AATTTATATTACCATATTTGTAATTTATGGTCCCTGCCTGTCCACTAAGAAATGCACCCATTAAAAGTAGTTACTGTAAATGCCACTGACCATTATGTCATTTTATGATTGTACTTTCCTCTTGACTGACACTGGTGACTCGAATGCCAATTAACTGCAACACCTTTGTGTGAGCCAAATGCTGGTGTGTACTTTTTTTTATCACCGCTAAGAAAGTAAAACAAAAGAGAATTTGAAAAAACTTGTCAAGTTTGCTGCACCTGCTTTGTTTTTGCTCTTTTTATTGTTTCTTCATTGCAAACTACAGTTTCTAGTAGCGGTAGTAGAAACACACTATTGTTTTAGACCCTGACATTGAACCTGATTTAAAAAGAATTTGATTGAGCAATTGGTGCGTGTGTAAGTAAGTTGTATTTCAATCATTTATCAAATAAGCTTGTTTAATGATTAAAGAAGAAAAACAGATTAAATGACTACTTACTTCTTTTAAAGATAGCTGCATGCAAAGTAAGTGGCAGCAATTACTGACGTAATGATGAAAAAAAGGAAAATGGATACTCAGTAGACCGGCCTGCTTATCAGATCAGCAGATAAACAGTATCAGTAGCACATGCACTGTTTCAACCGAAAAATACCCGGAAAATGCTTTGTGTACCATCACAGGTCAAGTGTACACAAGAAAACAGTGAATAGTCGGTTTTTCCTGCTGCACAGTAGGACACGGGCATTTATCTGGGTAAACTAGCCCTGAAAAGAACTAGTCACTTTCCAATCAGCCGTTGGTTCACATCGACTAATCCATTAACGAGAAAGTCTTTTTTCTCAAACAAAAAAGAAAGGAGCATCTCAATGCGCCTGAACTGGGTTAGTTAATGAATAGACAACAAAGAGAGTAAGGGAAGCATTCAGCCGATTCAGGCTGACATTGTAATTGACCGTTGTGTACACATGCTGTTGTCCTCTTGCGAGAACTACTGAACCGGATCCAAACAAAGCGTCCAGTGGTCTTAAACTTTAGTCAGCTTGCATTTGATCAGCTAAAGCCAGCAACTCAGTGTGTTGTCTGACAAACCAAGAAATGTTAATTGAATTGTTTTGCTAGTATAACTGTAAGTAATTTCTCAAAGAATTGTCGCCCTAAACTAGGTGAACATTACTTTAGGAGAAGCATACAGTAAAACTATTTTCAAACAAAAAACATGTGAAAGCACAAAAAAAGGAAAAGTAAAAATGGCAGCAAATCAGTTAAGTGTTAATCGCATTAGCGCGGAAGTACAAAAACAACAGAAGATAAAAATAAACGAAAAGAAAACACTTTCAAACACTTCTATTAGTATTTTAAAAAATAAACTAAAAGTAAAACTCATCTCTTTCATGGTTCACTGAAAACGTCGGTATAAGCTACAGCACCAAGAGAAGCAATCGCCAAAATCATTTGGAAAAAGTGAAACTCGTTTAAAGCCTAATAGAAGCAATAGTAATAATCAGGTGCTGATGATGGCAAGTAAAGTTGTCATCAGCAACAGCAGCAGCAGTCAACGGTGGATGATGATCGGCAGATGTGCCTCGGCAGAAGAAGATAGGTTCTGGCGTTGACTGATTGATTTAGAAGTGCTCCAAGTGCCCGGTGACTGAGGTCAGAAAGACTGCACCTATAGATAGCCCGAAAGATTGTGCCGCCATTGTCGACCATGACAAGAACGGTCACGGTGACGCTCATCTGTCCATCTGATCATCTGAAGAAGGAGGAGGAGAAAAGAAGAGAAAAGGGGAAAGGCGTCAGTGTGAAATGTCATTTCGATGAATCGGTCAGCAGCAGAAGAAGAAGAAGAAATCTTCAACCTGTCGTCTGCTATTGACGCGCAGAGGCACATTTGATTTGAGCAAACACAATGGACAGAAAAAAAGAGAAAAAAGTGAAGACAGTGAAAACGAAGGCAAGTGGTGGCAAGTGAGATCTTGAAAAAAAGAACAGCAGTCAAAGGTGGGGTGAAAAGGTAATGAAGGCGAATAGAGAATATCTTCACAATATCGAAGAAGTCTCAGCAGCAGCGAGAGCACTTTTGTATCCGAACAGGCGAGATAGAGCGAAGTGTCCTCTTCAATCAGCAGGTTCAAGATACCGAAAAGGGGAGGTGTACAAAGGGGAGGAAACAGCAGCAACAAAAACAGCAAAAGTCTCTTCTTCAGCAGCGGAGGTGCACTTTTCGAAGCGGTCATGCTTCGTTGGCTCTAATGGTGCGCGACAAATTGCGGCTTCTTCTTCGTCGTCGTCTTTTGCTCAGTTTTTTGTGTTCAAACACACACATGACAGTCTTCTGGCAAATCTAAGGCAAAATACAGATCTACTGATCAGTAGGCAGATATGCTGGGAGAGAGGGAGTGTGGAGATGGCCACTGGTTCGACAGGTCTCTTCTGTTCTGTGCACTACTGTTACTGTTCATCATCAGTCAGTGAAGCGGCACACACGGCTGAGGAAAGAAGATTGTGCTGTAGCTGGCAACAGATTTGTCGCGCGACGCAGCACATCACACGAGCAAGAAAGTGCTTGTTCAAATGCCTACCCAAATGTTCAGTCAAAAAGAAAAAAAGAAGAAAAAGTATTAGGTGTTCAAAAGGGAAAACGAGTTTGCGGAGAGAGAGAACGATGGCAAAATGTCAGCCTGAAGACGACAATATCGTCGATTGGCGCGATGTGGTGACAATACAAACTTTCACTCCCACTCAGTCTAATAAGCCAATCACCGTAATGATGACAGGCGACCAATTAGATCAGCAGGCGGGCAGGTAGTCGCTCAGTTAGGCAGTGAGAGTTATCGGGAACGGTGAAAGGTGAGAGAGAGAAAAGGAGAGAACTCCTTTCTTTTTAACCAAAAATACTTGCTGGGGGAAAAGGAACTGTCTGTCTGTCTGACAGCTTTGAGCGTTGATGAAACCCTTCAGAGTTTAAAAAGAAGGAGAAAAAGAGGCAGCATTCGACAGCCAGTAAAATGCATATACACTTCACTTTTTTTCTTTTTTTTCTCCCTTTGACAGCGTCTCAGAGTGTCAACGAGAGGAAAAGAGAAGTGAGAGACAAAAATATAACCGAAAGCGGCTGATTGAAATCGGTACATTTAGCGACAAGTCGTCGTGAAGACCAGTCGTCCGTGCTGATTTCGGCACTGTTTTCAGCAGTATCAGTGACTTGGTTTCACATTTGCCTCGGGTACACCTGCACACCGCTGTGCCCATTACCGGCCAATTATCACCGGGCAATTGGCAATAACAGGTGCTGCTGGTAGTGACGGTGGTGGTGATACTCATTATCCAAGTGTTGTTTCATTTTCACCGACACATGTCTCAACAAAGCTGTGTGTATCATCAGATGTGATCTAAAGTGTGTTTCTGCCGTTTGCCGTTATTGCATCATCCGAAAAATCCGAAAAACAGAAAAATATTTCCACATGTCTTCAGGCAGCAGCATCAACCACCACATCGAAGCATCATGTCAGCAGTTTTTCGCAGTCAATGCAGAAGAAGAAGAGGTGCCATTCATGCTCCGAATCGACAACCTTCAGTCAACGACCACTTCCAGTGCCAGCAGAGCAGTGCCATTCAGTTAACAGCAAGCTCAAAACACATAAACAAGTGGTTTTTGAAACCGCATTTTTGCTGGAGGGCGGCACTGGTGGAGGTAGTGGTGATGATGATGATGCTGTTCCTATTTAACCACATGGCAGCCGGTCAGCTGCTGCCCCCTCCAAAGAAGCTGCACCGCGTCATAGCCGGTTTCTACGCCTACCACCCCAGCTATGACACCGACAAGAAGGCGCCCATTGCCTCGACCAACAAACACTCGCCGACCGTCGTTTCCCCACCGCTGCTGTACGACCAACCACAACCACAACAAAAACCACGACCATCACCACCACTTAAAACTCCATCACCCCCACCTCTACCATCACCCTTTCCACCGAAACTGGCCACTCACCAGAAGGCCGTCCACTACCACAGCTTCCAGGCTGAACAAAATCACGGTGGTGATTACCGCCACCATCACCACCACCACGACGACCACCTCGACAATGACCACCACCACCATCGTCACCACCACCGGCACCGAAGACCACCGAAACACCACGGCGACCATGGCTACCACCACTACCAGCTATCGCACGCCTCAGAGTACAAAAAGGTGAAAGAGGAGGAAGAGGAGGAGAAGGAGTACTACAAGAAGACGACGACCAGCAGCAAGAAGGGCTACAAGAAGAAGAAGAAGAAGAAGTACCACAAGAGCTCCCGGCAGAAGTACCGCCAGAAAGGGAGTGGTGGTCACTTCACCACGGGCGGCTTTACCAGCGGCGCCCACTACCACGGTGCGGACTGGCCGTACATCTCCCGCGTCTACGAGGGCTACCTGGTGCTGGCGAGGAAGATGGCAGAGTACTACGGACAGAAGTACCACTACCCGCCGCATTTGCTTTATGTAAGTACCACAACACACATCCGCGTGTGGAGCCAATTTGGAAGTGCATTAAACTTGACGATAATTTTCTCATTTTCTCCCCCCTTCCAGTGGCAGATAATTGGAGTCATGTTTGAGCCATGAGAGGAAGAAGCCAACACACTTACGACACAGTCAGTCATTTTTTCAACAACAGTCATACTTTAACCAATCTGCATGTTTGTTTTTTCGTTAATTAAAGTTGATCTTTAGTGCTTTTTAAACAAACAAAGTTTGTTCATCCGGCAACTTGGTTTGTAGTGGAAAAGTGTGTTACACACTGGGGCGTGTTACAAGTTGGTTACAAAAAGTGGGCAATCATTGAGCCAAGTGAGGAAGGGACATTTTTTGCGCAGATAAAAAACTTGTTCAAGTTGTGAAAATAGGTAATGTAAAATATAAAGACTTTTCATGCTATGTACAGTAGTGTCCATCCGACATGATTACGCTTTTAAAATCCGTTACACCGAGATAATCATTCAACAAGGCCTTTGGCCGATGGGGACGAGTCGCTTATTTGGATGACGTTGCCGATACTAAAAACACAAAATGGAAACTTGAGAACCTGAACGTAACAGGACGAGATTTCCGAACTTACCGATAATGATGATAATAATTGCCAGAATGACAACGCCAATGATGATGTTGATTTTCATGTTCTGCCACCACATCTTGCGCGAGATTCGGCGAGCCCCAACTCGAAATTCATTGGCATTCGATGAGAGCACCTCAGATCGGTCTTCCAGGTAGTCCAAGTTCTGGCCACGCTGCATTATCTTATCAATGTTCTGCGACATGATCTGCTGGACCTCGTCGACATGTTCCTGCAGTCTGCAAGTCACAAACAGATGAGTATCACACACAGTAAATTGAAGAAGCCTGCTTACCGTTCAATCTTAGGGTCATTAGCACTTCGTGTTCTGTAGACAAAGAAAACAAAAGTTATCAAGTGGACGACAACAAAGTGACATATCAAAAGAAAAACACTTACGGAGAGGTGTCCTGGCCTCCAACCTGCAGGGAAGGTAAACAAACACAAAAAGTTACACCCCATTTCAAACCTCTGTGCACTGTCTTTATCCCAAAAACTCACATTGACCGCCGTGTAGTCTGAATTACGCCCATTTCCCGACATGTTGATGACTCCTGTGAGGTTGGCGACTTGTTGACTGGACTGAAAATGCTAGAAAAGAAGCTGGCGAGCACAACCGGAGGGCAAAGGCGAGATCAACGATCTACGATCAGCTTTTACGTCTTTGCACAAATTGCACGACTGAGCGAGGGTGTCTAGTGGTAAAGTCCAGAGATGATGAGCAAGGAAGAGTAACAAGAGGAGGACTGTCAGTGTCAAGCAGTGCAAGAGAGTGAGTGGGAGAAACGCATCAGCAGCAATGGTGATGATAACGACGCATCGATCTGGCATCCAGTCATTCAGCCAGGCCAGCTTTGATGTTTACGTTTTACCATATCACCTCAGCAGAGTGCGCCAGACGTCAGCAGATGTCAGCAGCAGTAAAAATCAAAAGCGAAAAAATCCGCCATCGAGCGGGAAACCAAGCGTGAGTCAAATGGTTCAAAGGGTGATTGGAAAATCACCGATAAACACCTTCCTTGTGGGATTTATTATTGTGAATCATTGGCAAACACTGACGGTGAGTGGGTGAATGAGTTACTGGTCAAACTGGAGGAAAATGGTGGAACGGTCAACCTCTCAAAAAAAGTGGACGAAAGCAACGGCAACAACAATAGTCATAAGTTTTCGAAAGCGTGCTACTGATCACCTCGGTGCACCTTGGCACCACTAAAAAAGAGATAAAGCTGCTACAGAAAATACTACCAAAAAAGACAAAGACGTTAGCTAGTAAAAGTGGTCGCGCTTGACGGCCAGACCGCGCAAAATGTCTCGTGGATTGGCCCGGGGGTTCTTCTTGTGGTTCTGCTTCTTCTCCAGCTGTCTGCTGTTGCCGGCCAGATTCAACGCCCACGTTGGGAGGAAAGACGATGGTGCTGCTGCTGCTCCACCTCGGCTGAGAAGGTACCACCGAGAGGAGGCTCGAGGTACGTCTGAAAAAGAATAATTGGCAACCTTTTAAAATCACCTTTTCTCGATTAACAGCGAACTCGCCTGCTCTAATAAATGCCGGCTGCTGCTGCTGCAAGCCAATCTCATCTGAGAAATCATGGCCATTGTTTGAAAAGTCGGCCATCACCTTCTCAATCTGCTGCTGCTGCTGATCATACTCCTGCTGTGGCGAAGCTGCTGCGGCAGCAGCCAACTTCGAGGGCTCAAAGATCTCGCCAGCGAGGACCACACTGGCCAAGAGACCGACAGTGATGGAGGAGATGAAGAGGAGAAGTCGTTGAGGGGTCATTTTGTCGCGAAGGAGAAGAGGAGAGATCTCAAAGAAAGAAAGTAAAAATGAAATAAGAAGTATGAGATCTCACCACTGTGGTCGAATGGAAGCGAATGAAGTCGAGGAGAGTTCAGTGAGTGGCTCTTATAGCCAGTGTTGTAAACCAGACCGCCGTCAGTTCTGCCGACCGGTAATTAAATTACCTTTGACATTACAGCATCGTCATCTTTCTTTCTTGAGCACACCGCCTGGAGCAGAGGAAACACTGCCACGGAGGAAGGGTGCCACCACCACCACCAGCACTTTGTTTGTCTCCGACAATGCAAATACCGCTGCACTGTACTTTAATTAGATTGAAGAGAAGCGAGATGCTTTCTCGGCAAAATTGAGGAGGAGGAAAGAAAACTTCGAAACCTTTTTCCAGCCACCGCAGATCATCACTTATTCATTGTCCCACTCACCCCATGAGACAAATTAAAAGAGGAGGAGGAGGATTTGTGCAAGTGCAATCCAAGTTCAATCAACCAAATGGACAGTGGCCAATTACCGGGGATCGAAAAAGCTCTCAAATCTGACCAAAAATAGCTTTTTCTGTTGTCTGAGTCCAAATCTGGTTCAAGCTGCTGCTGAGAAGAGCACCTGTCTATCCGTCGGTTGAATATAAGGATGGGCAAACATTGGTATCATTTGCCAACCACTGACTTTCCATTTGCTGCAAATGTTACCTATAGAGTGTGTTTATTCTTACTTAGAGTTATTAACTTATTCACCAGTGAGCTCACACAAAGTTAGAAAAACATAAGAGTGTAGTCTTAGAAAAATAGAAAGGCGCTTGTGTTAGCAGAGGGAGGAGAAGAGTGTACACAAAACATAAAAAAATTGAAAAAATAGTAGCCAAAACCAAAGAGTAAAAGAAGGATACAAAAAAGCAAGGAAACACTCACGACGAGTTAGCTATCTCTCTCTCTCTCCCTTGCTTGCAGATGGCCGGCTGGCTTAAGGCGCTTTTCGGTATTTACACAGTGGAGAAGACACAATCAAGCGAGAGAGAAAGAGAAAAGATTGAACTGGGGTACTCGCACACTTGCCGGACAAGCATGTTTGTACAGTATCATAGTGATAGTGTTTGTTTGGGTTTGTGTTTGTTGGGCGGATGACGCAGAAGGTTTGGAAGACCTGAGGATGGCAATAGCGAAAGGGTAGTAGGCAAAAGAAGTCCACTGTGGTTTGAGCATTGATTAAAGTTGTAGGGAGATTAGGGAGGAAGAAGAAAGGGGTTATTGCTAGTGGTGTCAGATGCGAGATGGAAAAGTTCCCTTGCTGAAAGAATTTGGGCCAAGTGGGTTCACTCATTGTAATCATTAGGTACAGCTAAAAGAGCAGTGTACCACCCTGATTGGTCAGCTGAGAGTAAACAAAGGAGCTCACACTGTGGGAATCTTAAAGGACTTAGCAAAGAGGGCTGCCATTGCCTGGTTCTTGTCGCCGTTAAAGGCGTCCAGCTCGGCAATCACCTCCTGACGGGTGAAGCCGAGGCCCATCAGCTCGGCAATGACCGCCTCGGGGTGAGCAGGTCTTGAGGAGGAGGAGGTGGAGGAGGATGACGTGGATGTGGACGTTGATGAGACGACACCTAAATGGGATGAAAGCGTAAAGCATAAGTATTTAGCACTCAAACTCTGGGACATCATCATCATCCATACCCTGAGACCCTGAGCTGCTGCCGTAGTTGGCCGAGGTTGAAGCTCCGCTGACTGAAGACTGAAGTGAGCTTTGAATGGCGCGCTGAATGTCGGCGTCCTCCGAGGTGACGGCCGCCTCCTTGTACTTCGGAATCTCATTCTCATGGAGGAAGGTCGTCTCCGTGCCGGTAGTGCCAATGCGCAGCACGTTCTTGTGGAGATCAATGGTGCACTGGTAGCGGCGGAGCATGTCCAGGCCGAGCAGCATCTCCATCGGCTGCTCCTCCAGGATCATGAATGAGGTCGGGATGAAGATGCCGTTAATCTCCAGCTGCACCAGGTGAATGCGCCCGAGAATCTTCTGCGTGCCGACGCCCCGGGCGATGCCCTGGAAACGCTTGTCAATCAGGCGGAGAATGTTGCACCGCTCGGCGCACGCCTTGCTCATGATCGTCGACTGGGCGCCCGAGTCAACGAAGGCCTTGATGGGGTTGCCGTTCACCTTGCAGTTGATGTAGAGCATCGTCACCTCGCCGAAGCTCTCCGGCAGGTACTCCATCGCGTTCTCCATGTTCGACTCAATCTGCTGCTGGCGAATCTCCTCGGCAATCATGTGCTGCGCCTCAGAGTCAAACGGATCCGCCATCATCATACGGATTCGCCGCTGCTCCGCCTGAATGCGCGCCTCGTTCTGCTCACTGAGCAGGCTGATGAACTCCTCCAGGCCCTTGTCGTAGGCGTCCGCCAGGCGAGGATTGTTGACGCGCAGGGAGGCCAGTCGTTCGGGGTTGGTGCGAAGTGCCTCGAAGATGGGCGTCACCTCGTCGCGAAATGCCTGCCCCCGCATGCTGTTTGCCAGTTCGGCCAAGTTTGGAGGTACATTTGGAACGCCCATGCCTTGATGAGCACCCGCTGCGGACTGCTGTGCACCACCGCCGCCGCCGGCGGGGCCGGGCAGTTTTTGCACGAGCAGCATGTCGCCATCGTGGATGCCATAGGCGGCTAGCGTCTTTTTCGTGTCCGTCAGAATATTGCCATTGAAGAAGACGGCCATCTGCTCTGCCGCAATGTTGGCCTCCAGTGAGCAGAGCGCCTTAAAGTTCTCCAGCTCCATTTCATCGTTCACCTCAAGGGTGAAGACGATGTCAGTCAGAGTGGTGATGGTCAGCTTCATGGTGAGTTGCCGCTTATAAAAAAATTTTTCACTGACGAAAATAAATGCAAAGTTCTCAGTCAACAGGCTAGAAAAACAAGGAAAAGATTAGTGTTCGAGTTTATAGAACACACAGAGAATGTAGAGCGCAACAAATGAATATTTGAGTGCGCGTGTTGAACTTACCAAGAATAAAAACACCGGAGAGAAAAGCTGCTCTTCAGGCTGAATCAGCTGATGGCAAAGCAAAAAAAAGACTGCGCTTGTCAGCCGATGACGATGACGCACTTGACAATGAAAGAATGAGCGCGTCTTGAGCAACTGGCGGCAAAAATGCACTGCGATGCAAATGTCATCCGAGTGCGATTACCTCGGCACAGGGACGGCAGGAGGAGAAATGGAGTGCAGTAGATCACACGACCACTACCAGCATTGTGGGTTGATGCTGCTGCTGATGATCACCAGCTTGAAGACACAGCTCTTCAACACTTTTCACTCAATCCGGACGCGTAGGCGAGAGTAGTAGGCTTGAAGTGTATATTGTGACACCGACACGATTGAGTGGTGATATGAACGCTGGTTGGTGCGTGCTGGACGAAGAACTTGCCAGAAGAGAGAGTGCGAGTGTGAGTGTCTCTGTTGTGTGTTGACGAGTGTTCCCGGTAGAGTTGGCGCCGCTTACCTGCCGGTGAGGATTCACACCACTTGTCAATGAGGCAGAAGGAGGAGGAGATGGCGGTGACAGTGGACGAGGAGTACCCGAAATCGCCCTTCGACAATAGACATCTTTCTGAAGAGGACAAGCAGGAGCAGCAGCAAGGTCAAAGTTGAGCCGTCGTGGTCGTCAGCAGTGGCCAGCCCACCTTTGCCGTCGTCAATATTTTGGTGTTATCACCGCCGCACGTCCTCTACGACCGGTCAGCTGCAGTACACTCACATTTCGCCGACTAAACACAAGTCGTCTCCAAACAATCCGAGACTAGTCGCCTCACTGCACCTGCGATCGATCCAATTGGAACTGTGCTCACTTTCTTTCTCTTTCTCTTTACCATTGTTGCCACTGAGGAGCACTGCAGCAGCAGAGTACCGAGCAAGGGAGAGCACCTTTTGCGGTCTCCGGCGGGCGCCCACCAGTAGTGGCTGCGCGGTGGAACCACCAATGCATGGTCACTCTCCTCTCCAGAGAGCGGCAGTCCAATTAGCAACAGCAACAGCAGCAGCAACCTTTTTCTAAACACTAATCAGGGTCAAGTCAAGAGTGGAAGAGTGGAGGCGGATCTGCACCACCACCACCATCACCTGCACCATTGCTCAATCTTCTACTATCTTCTAAGTCATCACCACCACCATCACCATCATCATCATCATCTTCCGAACAACAACAACAACAACAAAGTCGCCACAACAAACAGCATCACTACTACCACTACCAGAACTATCGCACGGGAACCGATCTTCGGTGTGTGTGTGTGTGACAACTACACCGCCGAGGAGACACCGCTGGCACTTTGAGCGCGTGTTGACGTAGAATGTCGAGTCCCAGCTACGTCGCGACGACGGACCACGGCAACGGACTCGGCGACCAGTTCGGCTCCACCACCACTAGCTCATCTGCAGTGAACGGCACCACCATGATGTCCGGCGACCAGTCTTCGGCGACGATCATCGGCGCCATGAAGCCCTATTCCATTCCCAAAGGCGAAGAGAGTGACAGTTACAACGACAAAGTGAACAACAGTGTGCAGGTGTCCACGCTACCGACCTCCTCTACCACCTCGACCATCACCAGTACCAGCAACAACAACAGCAACAGCAATGCCGCCTTCTCACCTGCTCCCATGGGCAACGGCGGCGGTAGTGGAACTGATGACGTGTGTCGTGATTTCCTTCGAAACATGTGCCGCCGCGGTAAATCCTGCCGCTACCAGCATCCTGACAATGAAGGAGGAGGGGGCGGAGGCGGCGGCGACAGTATGATGATGATGTCGGCCAACAACGCCGGTGGCCCGAACATGGGCCAGATGGGGAACAACAACCGAAAGCAGGACAACTTTGTCTTCTGCCACGACTTCCAGAACCGCGAGTGTCGCCGCGAAAACTGCCGCTTCATGCACTGCTCCAAACAGGAGGAGGAGATCTTTCGCAGCACCGGGAAGCTGCCCAATAACATGATCGGCATGGTGCCCCCGCCGCCGGCGGCCATGATGTCTCAAGGCGGAGGCGGTGGCGGCGACGGCAAGGACATCAACACGCCCGTCTGCAAGGACTTCATCAACGGCATTTGCAGGCGCGCTCCGGGTCGCTGCAAGTTTCGCCACCCCGCTTCAAATGACAATTACAACCAGTCGCCCTCTCCTACCAGTTCTCGTAATTCATTTGACGGTCGCAATGGCCAACGAGGAGGAGGTGTCGGAGCCCCGGTGGGCAACTTTGCAATGAGTCCAATGAACAACTCTCACAGTCTCGATGCTTACGGCTACGGCCGCCCTCACGGCGTTCCGGGCGCCAACATGGGCATTTCCCCCAACTACGGCTACGGAAACGACCAATTCGCCGACAATGGCAATCCGAACAAGCGCAAGCGATACGACCCAATGCCTTACGGTGTTGCAAACAATGCAGCAGCAGCAGTGCCTTACGGTGCCGGGGCGGCTTACGTCACCGAAGCAATGAATCCAGCGGTGCACGGTTATGCGATGCACCCCAGTGCAGCCGCCAGTGCCTACTACGGCGGAGGAGGAGGGGCCGGCAACGGTGGCGCCGTCGGTGGCATCGGAGTCGGCGGCGGCGTACGCGGCGGCGGCGGTCCAATGGTGGACGGCTCGGGGCGTGGGTCCTTCCTGGAGGAGGAGAACGCCGCCCTGCGCCGTCGCATTGACGACCTGAAGAAGCAGGTGTCGGAGCTGCTGAGCACCAACGAGTACCTCATGGAGCAGATCAACAACATGCGCGCCGGACCGGCGGCGG